TGAGCACACAGCCCTACAGACCTGCCTCACACACAGATATTGCTGTAACATCAGACTATAAATGTCAACCCCCCAATCAGCTGACACGACTGAGCCAGGGCTGCCGACTCCGCACAGGACTCTTCACAATGACCGACCAACACGAGCAGGTGGAGGGGGAGACACTGTCGGGGCACACCGTGACTCCCCTGCTCCGGCGGCAGCCCCGCTCCCCTCCGTCTCCCGGACGGTACCGGGCTGTCGGTACTGTTTAGACTCCCACCTTTCTTTCTGCCTGACTCACCTGTCAACACACGGGCCGCGTCTCCACCCGGGACCTGCTGGAACTTGTGACGTCATAAGGACGCGTCCAGCTCCGGGGCTTCTGCTCTTCTCGCGAGAAGCCCGCAGCCCGGGGAGGGGGGAGGGTTACCGTATTGACGAGTGTTGACGCGCACAATTTCTTGCATGAGGAATAATAATAATAATAATAATTGCTTACACTTATATAGCGCTTTTCTGGACACTCCACTCAAAGCGCTTTACAGGTCATGGGGATCCCCTCCACCACCACCAGTGTGCAGCCCCACCTGGATGATGCGACGGCAGCCATAGTGCGCCACAACGCTCACCACACATCAGCTATCAGTGGGGAGGAGAGCAGAGTGATGGAGCCAATTCATAGAGGGGGATTATTAGGAGGCCATGATTAGTAAGGGCCAATTGGAAATTTGGCCAGGACACCGGGGTTACACCCCTACTCTTTTCGAGAAACGCCCTGGGATTTTTAATGACCACAGAGAGTCAGGACCTCGGTTTTACGTCTCATCCGAAGGACGGCGCCTGTTTACAGTATAGTGTTCCCATCACTATACTGGGGCATTAGGACCCACATGGACCACAGGGTGAGCGCCCCCTGCTGGCCCCACTAACACCTCTTCCAGCAGCAACCTTAGTCTTTCCCAGGAGGTCTCCCATCCAGGTACTGACCAGGCTCACACCTGCTTAGCTTCAGTGGGTTGCCAGTTGTGAGTTGCAGGGTGATGTGTCTTCTCTCAGACCCCAGCTTGCTCTCCATGAGACACACAGACAGGGAGAGAAGCTGGGGGTCAGAGCGCAGGGTCAGCCATTGTACAGCACCCCTGGAGCAGCTGGGCTGAAGGGCCTCGCTCAGGGGCCCCACGGAGTAGGATTCCTCTGCCGGTCGCGGATTTGAACTGGCAAACCTCCCAGTCACAGGCACAGATCCTGAGCCACAGAGCCACCGCTCCGCCCAACTGCCCTGCGTAGTTTAAGATAGATGTAAGGGCACATCTCCAGACTACTTTTTAAAGTTAAGAATATGAAACCTGAGCGTTCCTCACCGGTACCTCATTTCATCTTTTTTGATGATAGTATATGTACTCCAGTGTGAAATGTATATACTGTAACGCTTACGGCCGACAAGCACTGTGTGTAAGAGCCGGCGTACCAGAGCAGGTGACGTCACCGCCCTTCCCTGTGATAGCAGGACCACAGCTACTGGGCTGTAGAGAGATCTCTCTTTAGCTCACGGGGCTAGGTCGCTGCAGAGAGACGCGGAAGTCCCGGGTTCGAGCCTCCAGTCGGGATGGGGCCGACCAGATGCGGCAAGGGCGCCCGCCTGAACCCCCGTTGCGTTACAATACTATTGTTGTTGCCATGAAAAAGGAAACTACGAAATTCGTAGGAGTAAAAATACCAAGAGAGGAAAGTGTGTGTGTGTGTTTTTAACCAAACCATTAACAGGCATCTGCGCAGAAATACCTCCTCAGAGCGGGGTGTGGACAGCGCACGCAGATTCCATGAAAAAGTAATTTATTCAAAAATAGAGAATCTGTCACGAGTCATCGAGGAGACTTACATCACACCCCGGGGGGAGACACCAATAATACTTTCAACGATCAACGCAGAGTCACAGTTACATCCACAATTTCAAATAAATACAAATGGTTGATAAATAACAAGTGGCAACACGTGCAATAAATACTTAAATAAGAAAACAACGCAATAGGGACAATGCCCATAAATAAACACATAAATATTACCGCAGAATCAACGGAATGTTTCAAATCATGAGAACAAGAACGATACTTATGATCGTTGTTAATAATAATAATAATAATAATAATAATAATAATAATAATAATAATTCAGTACAAGGCAAAGCACAAGTTACACAAAGTGCAATTCTTTTCTCGGCCACACGGTGGGGCTGTTTCTTCCCACACGGAGGCCAGGCGAGGAGGTGACGTCACTGAGCTCCTCGTCCCGGCCCTGTCGAGCCGCCCGATGTCCTCGCAGCGCCCCCTCCTGGCCGAGCCGCAGCACAGCAGTCGGAGCAGGGCCGGTGCTTTAGAAATCCACTTCCCTCAGGTCGGTGGGGGTGCTGGCCCTCTCTCCTTCCACGGCTCCCTCCTTCATCTGCCTGGCGCCCGCGCCCTCTCCCTCCTTGGCCCTCTCCCTCCCCAGCTGCTGCCCCGGGTGCAGGCGGTCAGAGAGGGCGCCCTCTACCTGCTCGGAGTAGAACTGCAGCATGGCCTGAAACACACACACACACATGGGCAGCCCTGTTAGTACCGGGGTCTCTGCCTGCTCAGCTATCCATCTCCCAGTCTCTCTGTCGATCACCTGTCGATCATCAGTCAATCAGCATCGCTATCAATCATCTATCGATAAACCTCTCTATCAATCACCTATCAATCATCAATC